GTGTTCATTTACTGAAGTGCCAAGCAAGCTATTGACTTCATCTGGTTAAGAATCCTTAGTTAAAATGTAAAAAAATAAAATAAAATTGAAAGATGCATCTAAGCAATGACTGCTAGAAATCGACATAGAACAGAAAAGCAATGCATATAGCAGGAAGCTTACCTTGCTGTTACAGATGACTTCAGGCAAATCCTAGTTTTCTAGTTGTGCTTAATCTGGCAGCTTTGAGCAGTAGCTACAGTTGGGGCTACACAAGATAGACAACCAGTATTTGAACCAAATGAACAGAGCAAAAGTACAGTGAGACTTGTCAGCCTGCAGAAGCTGAGTTGTGTAGATATGAAGTGTTCACAGCAGAGGGGAAATCTTCCAAAACAGTCTGAGGATTTAACATTCCTAGCAGCCACTTAGAAAGTGGACTTGTTAATGCAAATAAAGACTGTAGAGAATGTGTTTTTGTTGTTCTTTTTTTTTTAAATTGAAGATCATGCACTTCTGTGCATTGAGTTTCTTATGCATGATTCCCAGTATGTTACGTAAACCAAACTGCTCATTTGCATACTGTGGAATATTTCTCCATCTCTGTATGCTTATACATGACTCTCCAGCGAAAATTCTGATTACTTGTTTTAAAATGTTCTGTTATCTTCTGTTAAATAGCCAGAATGTTGGTGCACAATACCTCTAGCTGTTAAGACTGCACAGTATTTCAGCTTTACCTGCATATGTGTCTATCATCAGCTGTTACCAGATTATTTTTTTTTTACCAGGTATGTAATCAATAGAGTATTTGGTTGCCCTTTAGGTGTCTTTTGTGACAGATTCTTCTTTTGCCCTCAATCTTCGTAAACGTGGTGAGATATTTCAGCAGAAAGGGAAATATTTTTGTTCATTATGACATCAAGAATGAATGAATTGTCCTAAATTTGATAAATTGAGTTGTATGTTCAGTCATACCAAGGTGAGAAATGAGTGTTGAGTCACTTTGAAATTGCATAGCTGTTTTGGAGAACCTTTCCTTAAGTGCCATGTTGAAAATGAGCAATACGCGGTACAAGAAATTTGAATCACAAAACATGAGTGATGTTATTTTCATAAAGATTGATGTAAAATAAATAAATAGTTTACTTTGCATTACAGCTTGTTCTAGTTCTTTTTTCTTTTCCCCGGGCAGATGGAAATAATTGCAGGTGCCACCAGAACAAATCCCAAGCAAGGCTTTTTGTCTGATAACGTGATTTCATAGAATCTATAGAGAAAAAAGAAGATATGGCATGCAGGTGATGCTGACTGGGTACATTTGTGATTGGTGCCCTTGGTGTCTTTGGGAAAGTGGGGGGGGAAAGAGGGGAGATGAAATTCTCATGAGTGCTTACAGGGAACAGACTTTCTAAGAAATCTGAGTATTTGTATGCTATCTCCTGACACAGCCTCTTTAGCAGAATGTCAGTTCCCATCTTACTAAAGCCTTCAGTTGCTGAGTGTGTAATTTCAGCTGTCTTGAAAAATGGGAAATAAGACTTGGGATATTATTTTTAACTGCATGTTGAAGGAGATCTTCCATATTAGAAGTGAATAGTTCATATAGTTCTCTCTCTCTTCTACAGGCAAGTTACAAGTAGATATTGGCACAGCTGGAAATCTAAGGATTTCAAAGCAGGATAGAGTGGCAGCTGAGGCAGACTATGACTGTGGCCTAAGAACCTCTTGTCCTCTGTACTGAAGGTTTAAGTCTGAGGAATAAAGAGAAAATTCTGCATGGGGAACAAGGTCTCACTTGGACACTTAATGCAACCTACTCATGTTAAATATGTTGTACAGGCAGCTGTTAAAGAACAGCTGAGGCTCCTGTTTCCTCCTTGGAGCTGAGTTAACACATTTGTTCTCAACGGAATTGCAACAAAGATGTGAGTCCAGATGATGGATATAGCTGCTAAATGTTGTTAAATATCTTATTGCTAACGAATTCATTAGAAAGGATAAACACAGTTGGTCTGCTCTGAAGTGAGTCCATATATGCAGAATCTCACCCTCTGTTCTGAGCCCCTCAGAAGTGCAGAGAACATGCTGAAGTCTGCTGGTGCTGTATTACAGTCTATCAGGTGTTCGCTCTGGGGGAGTTCCAGGAGTGCTAAACATAGCTTCCTTATCTTCAGCTCCTTGACCTCACTGGAAGCAGAGTCCAAGTAGTGCTGATGCTTGGAGATTTCCCACACATTAAGGCCACGAAATATATTCATTCAGATAATGAAAAGGAAGGGTGTGCTCTGCCTTGGAAGCTTTCCCCCTGGAAAAGAAGGCAAAAGGTTCAGTCACAAAGAAGTTAGTAGAGTGGTGTTTTCTGTTGTGATATAATGCAGTAGAAGCTATACTCCTCTCCAATTATATATGTTTAACTGATGGCCAACAGTGCTCTGTCAACATGACTAGGTTTTCAAAGAAAGGATTAGATGAGAGCAAAACTCAGAACTAAATGATAAATGTGAAATTAAAAAAAAAAAAACAAAAACCAACAATAAAAACCACGAACAACCAGCTATTTAATAAGAAGATTGGCTGTTCTTTACCCTGTGCGATTCTAGGCTGTTGTAGAGAAGTGAATAGGTAATTTAAACGTTCAGTACTACAATACAGATGGGAAAATCCAGGGACTTTGGCCTTAATTCAGATGCTCCGTCTTGAACGACTGCATCCTGCCGGTGTGTTTCAAGCAGGGAGCACTTTATGTAAGTATAAAGCAGTTTCATGTTTTTTCAGTGAGTTGCCACTAAGACTTCATGTTTGAGCTGATAAACTGACTCAGCGATGTCTTCAGGTGCCATGATTTCTGTTTAAATTGTGAAGTAGGCTATTGAGCTGTTCTTATAAATGCAGGTGGTGGTTTTTGGTATTTACCCATGAAAATTCCCCTTGGAAACTTAAGGTATGGGCTTCCTTCTCCATCACTTGTGGAAGAGGACTGGTTAGCAGACACTGCAGCGTTTGTCTGCAGTTTTCAGTGACTTACCAGGTTGCTTGTGTTGTCTGCTTTGAAAGCTACTTAGCTTTGAATTTTCCTTCTTACTCTTTTGCCTTGATTGCCAGAAACATTGCAAAGAAATCTGAGTTAAAATGTTCTAAAGGTGTCCGAACAACTTCTAAGAGCAGTTGCTTATTTGTACAGAACCTGTGTTTTTGGCTTGTAAATCCCATGGATGTAGATTGTGAAGGAGATTCAGTCTGCCTTTGTGTTTTTGGAGACTCTGTAGGGCTGACGAGTAGAAACTAAATTGAAATGAGGGTGTAGAGACTTGAAAAGTGATTTCCACCTGTCAGGATGATTTGCGTCCTTCCTTGCGTGCCTCTTCCTCAGATAATTTTGTAGAAGTATTGATGTAACTTTAATGTAATCATATCACATTGTGGAACTAAAGATGAGGAATTAAGGTTCTTCTGTTTATGAATTCTACTGGTGGCCTTTGAAACCTCTACCATTTCCCGTCCTCCACCCTCTCAGTTATCAGATGCAGCCACTGATTTTTTGAGTTGGGAGAGCTGGGTGGAACTCCTGGGCTGGGGAACAGGAGCACAGTTGAGTCTGGTTCACTTCAAGCAGATCTGAAGCCAAGTTTCTTCTTATCTCTGATAATTAAAAGCATTGCCTTTAGGCTCTTGCCTAGTATAAAATTATTTTGAAATACATTTTAGTAATTTGTTATAATGGAAACAGCCTGCCTGATTCTGCATAATTTCCTATTGTTTTATTTTATCTTAACTGCATGCAGAATTGAAAGTGAAGGCAGCCTAGCATTTATACTCAATTTGTAAGGTGTGAACAATGCCACATCAGTCTTCATTAACAAATGTTGGATATTAACCTGCCCAGGAGAAACTTAAGGAAACCGTACAGTACTTATCACTATTACTGCCTGCCACATAGGGGGAGAAAAATCTGGTTTTACTGGTCTGGGGAACATCTTTAAGAGTAAACAAATGAAAGATGTAATTCTTGTTAGTCAACATTTGGTTCAGGTCAACTTGGGAAAAGTACGGCGTGTTTTTTTGCAGTAGTACTCACTAATTTGTTTGGAGATCCACAGTGAGGACTGGAAACCCGTGCCGTCCCTTGAAATAACAGGAAATTGCACTGGGCAATGTTGAGTTGCAGACCACCTAGTAAATAATGTAAACTTCTGTGTAGGTCACTCTGAAAGTAATGCCTTCTGTTTTTTCCTATGGAAACTACAACAGGTACCAAGAGCACAATAGTGCTGTTGGCTAGAACAAATTCTCACACAACACTGTCCTTCAGCAGCAGCATCACCACCCTTAGCTGTGCGTTTGCAAAAGAGCCTGCATGCCATACTTGTAAGAATAGATAAATAAATTAATTCATGGTGTGACAGCTGTACATGGCCTTCCTGAACATGGCTTGTTTCCACGTCCGCTCTGTGGTCGCCATTACCAGCCAGGGAGTGTCAGTGAATGTCAGCGGTGCCGTTTTTTTCTGTGAGGAGGAATTCAGTGACGAGCCTTTTCTTCATCCACGCTTCCGTATCTCACACCGTTCTGTCGGCTGCCCTTCTGCCCCTTCTGTCTGTGGAATGGTGGTGGGAAGGTGCAGCCTGTACTGCCGTACCATCAATATTTGCCTCCATACCAAAACAGGAGGCATCAATTTCAGAGTAGCCCCTGTATTTAGGCTTGCACACGATATAGAACGAGGCTCGTACGAATGAACTGCGTTTCTAATGGATTCACCACCTCAGCCTTCTTTCCTTCAAATCGATTTGTTTTGTACTGCTTTCTCGTATCCCGAACCTATTAAAGCAGAAGAACCCAAGCGGTCTGTATCGCTGTAGCACGGCAGCTGGGCACCGCTCAGTTCTTCCCGCTCCTTGTGCCGGTTACCCCTCAGGGCAGGTGGGAGCGGCTCTCGCTGCCCACCAGGGGGCGCCACAACACCCGGCGGCAGCGCGCCGCCCGCGCCCCTCCCCGCCCGTCCCGTCCCGTCCCGCGCGCCCAGGGGCGAGGCCCCGCGGCTGCTCCCGGTGAGCGGCGCCGCCCCTCAGCCCCCGCCTCAGCCCCGCGGACTTGCGCGCTCGGCGGCGGCGGCCGTGGAGCCCGGCGGTAAGTGGGCGCTGGGAGCTCCGCGGGTCTCCCCTTCCCTCCCCCTGCGATGTTCCCGCACTGCTGCTCGGGGCGGCTCGGCTTTGACCCTCCCTGAGAGTTGGGTGTGGGGGGGGTCCGGTAGTTTCCCAACTTTTCTGTGCCCTTCATCTTTGCGTGTAGAAGAGCGGCCCGGGGCGGGCCTCGCTTCGGGGCAGCGATGTCACTCGCGTGGAGCCGTTAATCCCACAGGCGCCCGAGGGGCGGGCACGGCGGGCTTCCCCCGACCGGCGGTGGCACCGAGCTCAGCGCTCGGGAACGCGGGGATCGCTTAGAAGCGGTGCTGCCAGGGTCTGACAGGAAAACAACAGGCGCAGGTCAGGGGCTGTTGGATTGAGCGCCGCTCCTTTGCTGCCCTCTGAGTTCTTCCACCTGCAGGATGAGAAAAATGAAGAAAAGTCCGTGGAGATGAGAAGGGTGAAAGAGGAAAAGCCGTCAGTGCTGATAAACACCTGCTTAGTTTTAGCATAAAGCACCACATCAGTTCGTTTTATTAAGTCAGTCGCTGGTTTGGGCAGTTCTAAAGTGCTGCGGTCACTTCATAGTACTGAGTGTGTAAGGAGTGCTACGTGTGTAAGGAGTATTACGTGTGTAAGGAGAGTTGTCTCGCTGTGCTCAGCTCTGATGCCTGCTTTGGGTTTTGCTTTGCTGTAACTGTTTTGCAGCATAAATTGTGCCTCGGGATGGATGCGTGGAGTCCGGCCAAGGGTCTGTGGTTCAGCTCTTCCCTCATGGAGAACTGCTCTGCCAAAGGGCTGGAGGGGGCTGCTCAGGAGAAAGGTGCAGAGCTGCTGATGGGCCAAGTCCTCTCTTACTGATGGGCAGGCGTTTGTCACACAGTCATTGTGTACAAATCAGCCATCAGTTGTCAAATCGTTGATAGCAGGCTTCGTAATTTACCTACAAAAGGAAACCTTTATCCTGCTCCCCTTGAGGTGTGTTTGCTGCTTTCTTTAGAAGATTCATTTCCTTTCCCCACAGGGAACTGTACTGGAGCAGGAACACCTACATATGGGACGTGTAGTGGTAGGAAAGAATGTATTGAAATCCATGCTTTGGTCCTCTGGTAAACCTTGATTTCCTGGGGTAAATAAGCTCTGATATTATGGTATGAGGAAACTTAGGAGCATGAAGTGAACTGGCAGTAAATGTTCTTAGTGCAGAAACTGGAACGTTGGGAGCTCTGTGTTCTGTTTCTGCTTGCACGGCTGTGTGGTACTATTAATACTTTGTCACCTCCTAATATTCGGGGTGTGTAAAAGGTGAAACTGTGCTTCAAAGAATCATTGTGGAAATGCAGCAAGTAATAGGAACGCCCAGTAGATGCTTTTGTATTGAAGTGCTCAGCGTGCCCAGCATGGGATGGCTGGGGAGATGTGGTATATTCTGTGAAAGAGCAGACCTGTGTGTACACCCCCTGCTCTGGTCACTGCTCAGCCTCCACGGAAACCACTGTGTGAGTAAAGAAGAAGTTCAGGTCCTCCTTCCTGCTTCGCTTCATGTATGCAATGGAGTCCTGCAAAGTCTTTGTAGATTAAGCCTTGAGATGTGATGTTATCTTGGTTTCCTAAGGTCAATGTGCAACACCTAGGTAGGATTGTGTTTATGACTGTGTGGAGAATTTTTATTTTGGTTGAAATTTAAGTGCAGAAGGGTAATCTGTCATTATCTTACCTTCCTTGTGCAGTGTACAATTGTCTCAGGTCATCTAGCGTACAATCTATTTTGGATGCCTGCTAACTGCAGCTGCTGGGTGAAGCCAGGGAGAAAAACCCACAGAAGAGAAGAGGGTGGAAGGCAGTAAGTCTAGGACAATGGGGATGGTTGGTTGTTAGATGTTATTATTTTTTTTTATAGGTGTGTTTGAATTAATGTCATTTATAGCCACGTACCTTGAATTCTAATGAAGGGAGTAGGCCATCTGAGTAAATCCCTTTGGGCGAGTCTTAGTATTATCTCTTAATATATGAGTATTTTCCTCTGCTTGACTTTCTCATGGGTTCAGAACTTGATCTTTTGCTCATCAGAATGAGCAAAAGGTTTAGGTTTTTGGCAGAGCTTGGTTTTGTCCTTTGTTTGCTTTTTTTGAAGTCTGATTGTTGATTTAAGTTCACTCCAACACTTCAAAAAATGCTGCTCTGAACAACTGCAAACGAGATTATATAAAGTTAAGATGGGGCCAGTAACTCACAGGTATCCCAATTATGATAAATGCCACTATAGCATTGATTTACTGTGATTTCAAGGCTTAAGCACAACTGATCAGCGGGCTTGCTTTGAAGTTATGACGGAGTGTTTCAGAAATACTGCAGTTTTAATTTACAAAGCAGAATTTGAATTATTTATTTAGACTGAGAGGAAAGAGGCATTTTTATCCCAGGTATTAACGTGGCTTTGGGAAGAGGAAGGGAAATAATGAACAAAGCAGCAGCATGTTTTGTGTGTCTTCATCTTGCAATACTCTGAAAATAGAAGAAAAGTATGGATTGCCTAGAAGATGCCTCAGAAAATATGGGGATCGAAAGTGGAAGTGAGAAACACCCCCGAGACGTGACTGGTCCAGGCTTACTGGTGGAAGTGTTGGTTTGCACAGTACAGTGCTGTGGTTATTCTGGCCTTCACTGTCACAGCCTATGCAGTTTCTACCATTTGCCTTAGGTAACTGAATGAGAGAGAGCATAATTACAGCAAAGTTAAAGGAGGATTTTGAAGCAGTGGTTTGGAGAGATTTGTTAAGAAGAAAGCAATAGGCCTCACAGTCTGCAGCTGAGCCATCACATCTGTGGTGGAGACTTCCAGCAAGGCTGCTGCTGGGGGCATGGAAGGTATTGCTAGGGGCATTCTGTGCCTCTCCTTCATGGGGTTACTGCGTGTGTCCTTCATGCAGTGAAAATGGTAACTTCTTCCAAAGCATGGCCAAAGTGGATGTGTGTTGGTCGAGTGTCAGATGAATGTCAGTCATGTCACATCACGTGTGCTCTCCCACGACGTGTGCAGACATCACAAGGAGAGCTGAAGTACTTGCCGTTGTCTGATAAGAGTGATACTGTGGCCCCTTTGGGGAAAGGAGAGGCTCTTGCTGGAATACTGCACGTGCCCTGGGTCTTCCTCCCCTCTCTGGGGGAAGAGTGTCGATAAGGGCAGGCTGCAGGCTGGGCCTGGGCTGTCAGGAGCTCCCCAGCTAATGAATGGGTTGTGGACAAGAAAGGAGTGAGGGGAAATGAACGCTCACCAGGCTCCCCCTGTGGAAATGTCAATCCAGAAGGACATGCTGCACAGAGATACCAAACCAATTGGCAGCCAATAAGAAGCTGCACAAAATGGTGCTGGAGGATGGAGGCAGGTAACCACTTCTTGGCTTGTGTGCTGGTGCTGTGTGCTGGCAGAGGGAGTGTCGTTCTTCTTGGTACTCCTTATTGATTTGTAAAAGCTTGAATGTTGCTCCCAACGTAGATAATGGTTGATGCAGTTGCCCTTTCAGTTGAGATGAAGAAATCAAAACATTTTTGTCCTACTGTGTAGGTTTTGCCAATACCAGCCAAAAAAAGTATGTGGAAGAGCAAGGAGAGACTATCTCTCTCTCTTTGAAGGAATGCTTTTGGAAATGAATTTGATTGATGCTCAATCATCCTCCTGTTTCTTAGAAGCCAACAGCTTAAAAGGGAGAGAGAGAAAAAAAGAGTAGAAGATCTGTTTAGGGAGGTGAGTGCATGACAAAAGCTGGGTTTGTTTTGACAAGTCTGTTCAATTTTTACAACACATTTGCTGCTTGTAATGTACACTTACAGAGATGGGGAGAAAATCTTTAAAAAAGAAAGTGAATTTGGCAGAAGCCCTGCAGTTGCTGTTTGGTACTTTGTCCTATTTTATAGGAAGACGGTTGGTCTGTCAAAATAAATGGAGCTTCTTGCAACATTGAATTATGTCTGTTTCTAGATCAAAATAGAGTTCTGGAACCTGGAAGTCCCTGATGCATATGCAGTGAGCAGCATCTGGGGTTCATATGGAAATAAGCATCGACTGAGGGATATGAGTGTGGTGCTGAAGTCCAGAGTTACTAAAGCTCTTATTGCTCACTGCAATTGGATTTGTTATGATTTGAGAGGTCTGACCACTACCTTACACATTCTGATTGAAATAGTGCTGTTTGTAACATCAGAGGTAATATGAGTATTTATCTACACAGGACACATCAACATGTTGTGAAGTGTTTGCTTGGTTACTGTGTTACAATGTCATCTGAAGCTGTATGACTGATGAGTAATGTCTCTGATCTCCTTTTCCAAAAGCAGCAGCTTCTGGATCACCCACCCCAAAATGTGAGGGGACGAGCAAGGTTCAAGCAAACAAGTGACAAAAAGTACACCTGGGAACAGGTGGAAAACTGAGCTGATCAGCATTGCTATGGAGGGAGGCACACCTGGGCAGCACTTTAGGAATCCACTGCTTTTTTTTGTCATCCATTCTTATGTATCAGGCCTGATGATTTTTTTCTGCCATTGTGACAGTTTGTAAGAGGAATATCATTTGCTGGACTTTGCTTTGTGATTTTCATTGAATGCCTCTTCATTTCTGTTAAGTCTTCTATCAGCAGTCTAAACTTGGGGCAGATTTTGGTTAGTCCTTAGAGTTCGTGGTATCATTAGCATTGTGGTATACAAGTATCTGAGTAGCACAGTAAAGTGAGGTTAAACATGTCACAGTGAATTCTTTCTCAGTTTTAATCTGTCCCCATAACTTTAGAGCACCATTTTGGGACCTCGGACTGATCCTTGCTGTCGGAACACCTCCGGGATTTCAATCCAGTGGCTCTGGTAGAAGTAGCAAGTTCTTTCCTCCTTTCCCCAGCAGCCTCATTCTCTGGTTAGCAAATTTTGTGTCATGTATTCCCGGCGGAGGTCCTCAACTGCACCAGTGAGGCTTGGTCACAGAGTGAACTTAAACAATTATGTTCAGGAAACTGAACATAGACTTGCACTGTTACACAGAGAAACACGTGCAATAAATGGTGCAGCTCTTGTTCTCATTCAAAACATCTGGTGTGGGTTGAGAGACATGGCATTGAGCATTCTGTAGGCAGAATCATAGTGCCTTTTTGTAGCAGTTGTTCAGACTTTTGTTTGCTGCCTTGCCTGTGTGCTCTAGCACCACAGCCTCAGGTGAGAAGAAGGAAGTGCTGTCATGTGGTCATCTTGGTTTGTGGTCTGCCTGCTGACGCTTGTAATGAAGAAGCCTGCAATGCTGATATCCATGCTAGCTCTCTCTTGCATAGTGTGAAGATGCACGATGCTCACAAGTTTGTCTGACTATTGGTTGGATGCATATGTGCTTGGTTGTTTCAGTAAGGGTGCTTCACTTAGCACTGCTCACCAGTTTATACAATTGGATCTTCATTGTTCAGCTGAGACTAATAAATAAAATCTTTCAACCTGTCCATGGTAAGTCCAGCCACGATAAGTTGCAGTGGATCCCAAGTGACAATATCAGAAATGTATTTTATCTGTTCTTTGCTTGTTGAAAAGTCATGATGAATGTCATACTTTCTTTACATTCTAGTTGCATCGTCTTTGTGCATCAATGAAGAGTCCAAGTATGGCTTTGTTCAAGCAACAGAAGGTGGAGGACGTTTACGAGATTGGGGAAGAACTAGGAAGGTAAGTCTGTACAGTCACCACATGGTTGTAAAAGCTGACACACAGGGATATTGGCAGCATTTTAAAATAGTGATTCAGTCAATGCACTGCATGATAGTTTAAATCAATTTACAACAGGAACACATTCCTCAAGAGGAATTGGCATTTATTGTTTTATTTTTATTCACTTGGGCATTTATTATTTTGTTTTGTTAAATGTGCTAACTTGCTAACTATTTTTCCTGTTTCTTTTCTTGCAACTAGGACAACAGAAGGTATGTTTGCATTTGTCTTTTGTGCATAGGTGTCATCTGTGTGTGTGCTTTAAACTGGGTTCACCTGTCTGCTCTGTGAATGAGCAGGAAACAGGAAGCCACACCACCATAGTCACAGATGCAGCCCTTTAGTTCTGCTTGCTGTGTTTTAACAGTGCTGTACAGTCTCTGGTGGGCTCAGAGCACTGACAGGTCTTGCTGCAAAACACTGTGTATGTATTCCTGAAAAGATCCACCAATTAACATCTCAGCAGGACTGGTTGAGGCCTTTATACAGCTTTAAATCTATAAAGAATTATCTACAGATATTAATTATAGGTGAGTTAATAGGCTGTTGCTATGCTTAACCATGATCACCTGCTTAAACACAGTAGTGGGTTTGTGGGCTGGATGACTTGGGGCTTCCCCAGTCACTTACAAGCACACAGGGCTCTGAGTGATTCCCATTCAGTGTTGAACCCTCCAATGATTTTAATATGCAAATTGCTAAATTAGGGCTATATTTGTTGACTTCTTTCCCAACATCTGGCAGCTGGATTTGATAAATGACTGTGTATGTGCAATTACTCCTTTTCAAGGGCTGATGATTTAGTTACATTAAAACACTTCAGTTCAGGCTATTTCCCTGCCAAATCTTTTTGTGGGGGATGTTTATTTTTTTTCCATTTTATTCCATCCCAGGAAGACCTCAGCTTTTAAATTTTCCATCGCTGCTTACTTTCAAGTACTGACTAGTTCTGAGAATATCAGCCTGAAAGTGAAAATTTGGCAGAAGTGAGCAATCACAAAATGCAGTTCATATCTGCAGTATGTATAGGGTGTGCTTATTTAATCTAGGAGGTACTATTATGTGCTGTAACAACCAGGTTAGTGAAAATAGAAACTGGAAGCTAAATAGTGTATTTTTACTTTGATTTCTGAATTGGTTTTGGAAATCCAGTGCCTTTTGAGATGACCCTTGCTCCCCTCTTTGAGGTGATGACTGTAATGCTTCTTGTAGATGAGAAATCCAAGTTGACTTGTTACTGAGGTTGGAAGGAAAAAATGTTCCCTAAAGGAAAAGGGCAAACAGTGACACCTCTCCTTGTTATATAACATCATGTAGTCTCTGCTGGCTTTATTTTCACTTTCAGATTTTGTGAAGAGCTCTACAGACTTCTTGTTTCAACTGTGTTACATGTGTAGTGTTACCAGGTTGTCACCTGTCTCTGAGCACTAACTACTGATTAGGGCTAATGACAAGTGATACCTTGTTCTGTTGGAAGTGAAATAATAAACTAGACAGGTTGTGATGGCTGTACCACAAGAGCTTTTTCCAGTGCTGACTGATGCCCTTGGAGCCTGCAGGTGCCTCTTTTTATTACTTCAGTACAATTGCATCAAGTTGTTGGTGCTGACAGGTACGGGAGTGTAAAAGGATTTGGTTTTTGTGATTCTGAAAAGTCACTTGCAAAGCAAAGGATTTTAAACCAAGTCTGTGAAACGTCTGTCCTGTTCGTGCCTTCCTAAATTAGTTTCTGATTTCCTGAGGACAGAACTTGTCATTAATACAGATTCCAGGTTGGGTTCAATCAGAAGTTAAAAACAAGCACGTCATCATTAGAGCCAGACATTGTATCTGAAAGCCTTTGCACAGCAGTTAGGAAAGGGGGCTCCCAGTATGTACTGTAAATGCTCCTTTGCAAGACTCAAGTGTGTTTGGTCCGGAGATGAAGTTGGACCTTTTCTGGCATGGTGTAGCATTCAAGGTAGCTGCAGCAGAGGCTGTTTGAATCCAGCTGTGCAGGACTCTGCAAACAGTGCATTTGCAGAGTCCTCAACCAGGATATTTTCAGGATCGTGCTGAGCTAGAGACAGTTCAAAGGATGCTGAAAATGTTGTTCGTTGTGCCAGAGCACAGTACGAGGGAAAAGTCTGCAAAAGCAGAGAGCAGGCTTTCCATAGCTGCAGCTGTGTGCTGTAACCAGCTGCCTAACTCCAGTGCTTCCACAGTCTTTCAAATATTGATCTTAGGCTTATGGTTCTGTTGCCTAACTTCTCTGAAGCGTACCTCCAGGGAATCAGAAATTGGGCACGTGGCATTAGACAAAAGAAGTTTCTAATGGGCTTTTGTAGCTTTGGCAGTGACACTTGGGAAGTTTAGTGTGGCTTATACTGAAGGAGGGCAATACCTTATTGTCATATAAGAGTGCATCAGAGGAGTGTTTAAAAAGTCCTCTGTTAGACCAGCTGGTCTGGAAGTCTTAGGAGAGTTAGAATGCAGTGGGGTTTAAAGCTTTCAGTATCTGGAGAGGTATTAGAAGATTCTCCTCTTTTTTCCTTCTTTCAAAGGCAGTAGGCTTTGCAGTTTGGGGGTACATTATACAGAACTCTCAGGCATTTAATGCTGTCACTCTTTGAATGCATTAAACCATGATTTCTGGCAAATATAGTTTCTTTCTGTGTCTGAGTTGATAAAAAATGGATATGTTGAAAATTATTTTGCACAGAATGTTCTCAAGATTCATCCCTCCCCAGATGTGGTTCTGTGTTGCTAAATGTCACTTTTATTCAAGTAACAGGAAACGATGCCTTTCACCATTCATTTTAATAAACTTCTCTGTCAGAAACCTATTAACACTGTTATGAATGTTGTGAGGGGATCCTGGCATAAGCTGTTTGCAGGAATGTTGGTAGCAGATGACTCTAACTGCATATCTAAATGATGGAAACATTTCTTGAAAACTGTGCAAAAGTGAAGGTGAGCTTAACTTCCTTGGTAGCACGCAGCAAGCCAAGTGACTCTTGGCTTTTCAGGCAAGGAAACAGGCAGAGAAAGGAGATCAAGAGTGGAAATTCTTCAATTGAAACCAAAGTGGGTCAAGAGGAAGGAAGAACCGGCCTGCCCATCTCACAGTCCATTTCCCAGGGGGGTGGCAGCAGCAGAGCTCAGCAGTGGGCCTTCTAACAAAAACTGTCTTAGCATCTGTTGTGATTTGGATAGGTTTTAGCTCTGTCTAGCTGTGCAGCGTAATTCATAAAAGGCTGTACCATAGACTCATCAATCTCAATGTGTCATCAGCTAGCCTGCAGAGGACTGCTGACATTTGTGCCTTCTGGGCAGTGTCACTGCTACGTGTCTGGGCTGAAGTGTGATGAGGGTGTGCAGCGCCTTTCATGGCAGTGCCCACTGGGAATTGTGTTCCTGCAGAGTGGTGCAGGGCTGGCACTGCTGTGCCCTGAGAGCGTCCTGCTCACCACAGCTCAGCTCTCCACAGCCTACAAGGATTAGATCACGTTTAACAGAGGAACTCAACTGATAGCTGGGTGAGGAAATTTCCTTTCCTTCATTATTGGCCTTTGGGTGTAGGGAAGGGACTCGGCTTGTTTCTTGCTTGTCTCCGTCACTGGAAGCTACACTCACTTATACTCTCTCCTCTCCTCAGCTTTTGTTTGTCTTTCCCATAGAAGGTGGGAGACCTTTTATGGATGGAAGAAGCGTGGTCTGATGTGCCAGTCTTTATAGCAAGTCAAAACCGAGTCTTTGAATAAGCATGAGAAAGGGGAAAGTCATGTTGTTCACTTGGTCGTTTGCGATCCTCTCTGCTGGCAAATATACTTGGTTTGCTGCAGTTGCAGTGTGCTGGCCTACAAAGAAGGTGGCTGAGCATCTCTTCAAGATTTTAAGAGCTTTTCTTCTGACAAGAGAAAGAAGCAGGGCTCTCTGGAGTTATGGAAGCTGAAGTGCTGGGGTGGCAGTTTTTTGTGAAGCTCTCTGCATGAAGAGGCTATAGACTGCCAAGTTAATGCCTGGTTGGTGCCAGAAGTGAGCTAACTAGGAGTGGATCTAGGCTTTACCTGCGGGAAATGATTTTACAGAAAATCTGTGATTCTGCACGTTGGAGTGATTTGCATTTCATCTTGAGGAGTTTTCTGCTGTGGATTTTTAAATATCAATTCCTACTTCTTTCTTTTTTGTTTGCTTAAATGATAAAAATCCTTCCTCATATTTCTGATTAGATATGTTATTGCAAACATAGTATTATTCCTTCTGCATATCTCTATCTAATAAAGATTTTCTGTTCACTGAAATGAGTGAAAAAGCACAGCTTGTCATTTGGAGAAAATGACACACTCTTGTTTTTGAACACTGATGAATGGCAAATCAAAGAAATGCAGGCAGAAGAGTACCTTTCAGTGTTGGCAATACTTTGTTAATAACTTGGACTGTTTCTGTCCTATCTACTATTCTCTCAAATTCAATCGCTAACAAAACTTCATTGTCTGGTAGCTCTGTTTCAAAATTATAGGTAAGCTGAATATATATCGTTTGATCTTCTGCATTTTATTCCCTGCGGAAGTGTTGAAGTAAAACTGCTTAGTGTCCATCTCTCCTATTGCTTTTTGTGCTGAATCTAAGCTCTCAGGGACATGGGTTGTCTCTGAATATGTGTATTTTTAGCACTGTGGTTCCTGGGTCATTGGAATCAATGGTTACTATGAGAAAAGCTATTCATAATATAGAAGAAAGCCCACATTTCTGTGGCTATTTCTGTAGTGTTGCTTGGATTTATAAGTGTCTGGTGAGCAGTAGGAAAGAAGCAATTGTACTTCCAATGGATGTGTTAAATGAAGGAGAAATTTGGGGAGCTAGTAGTTACTCTACTCAATTTTCCTTCCTCCCCTTGAATGATCCAGTTTGGTTTTACAGGTGTTTTGGATTTAGGGAGCAACAAGTCTTCACTGTAGGGGTTTGGCAGGGCAAGA